AAACTTCTTTTGCGACATCAACCCCAGCTCGCATCAGATACGAAAGCTACTTGTGAAGCTTGAGTGATTAGATTATTAGGGTGACAACAGTTTGACTAATTTTACCTATGTCTATTATAGTTCCAGAATCATAGAAAATATTTATCTAAATTCTTTATGTTATAGATTATGAACTTTAGAGATAAATCCTAATACCCAGCGTCTTTTACATATAGTTTTAATCTTTTGCATTTAGTTTTAATTTCCTGCTTAGTTTATTAGAATTAATTACAAAAATCCCTTTTAATATGATTAGGTTTAGAGTTTGTCTTTAACATCAGGTAGAAATCCTCAACACACAAATCCCTATTGATTCGATCTCCAAAAACTACTGCGTTTACTGTGCACTTGCAGATTATTTAGGTTAAAAATTGAAGCTGTCCATTGCACCCACATCAATGGTTAATGAAGATATTGGATCGCAGTTATCAATTAGTTCTTTTTTCAGATACGTTTGTGTTGTTATCAATATTTAAATGTGTGTGTATGTTATCTTATTTATCTGTGCGTTTGTTTATTGATTTCGAGATGATAGAAATCAACTTTAAGTGTCAATAGTAGTCATTTTCATTTCAGAAATCACAAGGAAGAGCGGAAACAGGTTATCCACGAATTAAAAAATATTACCTAAAGTAGTTCCGATATAAAAACAGAAGAGGTAATTTGAATAACAAAACGAAGATTTTGAAAATATGAATAATTTTGGAAATATGAATAATTTTGGATAATCTTAGGTATATTATTATTATTTTTTAAGTTTTAATTCTCAAACAGGTAATTCAGGTATTCTATCTTATTCTTATTCTTGCTCCTTCTGTTATCCTTCCGTATCAATTTGTATTAACTGATTAGTGCCGCCCATGAAAATATTTGAGTGGGATTGGGAATTGTACGAGAAATTCAGGACGGGTATGAGTTGAGACTAGACGATAGTATCAAGATTTTTGATACAAGTTATACAGATGACATGATTTACACGGAGCAGTTCTTGAATAGGATCAAAATTTTTGGTTTTCCTAACCAAAATGGTTTTAAAACTTGGTTCTCTAATTATGCTTCTTAAGAATATTGATCCAAAAAGCGAATTGTATAACAGCACCCAGTTGATAGTTACTAACTTAGTTTACTAATTATGTTATTGGGTTAGAGTGATTATAGAACAAAATTTAAAATTAAGGAAAACCTTAGAGAATGTGGGGTTCTACGACTGAGACCAGTATTTTCTTAAGAACAGCTTTTCGTTTTGGTTTTTTTTAAAAACCCCATATAAGTGGATAACATTTTTTATACCTGAACTACATGCATGTTCCTGTCCATTTTACTCAGATATCCATAATTCTTGAAATGAACATTCCTAAATATATATATATATATATATATATATACATGAAAAGTAAACTATTTATTTTGTTTTATAGTGCAATTACAATTTGTGTTTGATATTAAATTCATGTTTGCTTAACTATACAAATTCTAAAACTGTAAAAGTAGTTATTCATGATTCATATACACACGAGACACAGGGCAGATATATTTCATTTGCAATTGTATATGGAGTAGTTGGGGATGAAATTATGGATTATGTTTTTCATTAAAATAAATTAATCAAAAATTTAGACATAAAAAATTATTGATGGATTTTTTAAACAATGATAATCGACCTTTATTTAAATTTGATTATGGTGGAAGATTGCGTTAATAAATAGATCGCATATATTATCTATGAATGAATATCGATTTTATTTTTCACCGATAAATTAAAAAAAGAATTAGTTTCGTAATCAATAATAAAATTTAAACAAATATAAAAATACATTCTATGAAAATATTCTTATTTTTATTTTAGTGTCTTATTTATTAAGTGTTTATATTTTGCATGTGGTACGGATTCGTTAGCTAGTTTATTTAAATATTTATAATATTTCACTAAAATTTATAATATTTCATTGTTTAAATCATCCGTCATTCTCGTTACCATCAATCAGTTATAAATTTAATCTTTCCAACTTTTTTCTACTTTAGATTTTGCATCCACACTACGCGTGAGTAGTTTGTTTAATGCTATCATATTAATAAAAATCATATTTAAGCAGTTATATTTATTTTAATCTTAATTTGTTGTAATAAAATTTATCAAAAATAGTTCAGTTTTAATCTTAGAATTTATATAGACTTTGAGGTTTCAACAATTTTGTTTGAATCTATTTATGTGCCTTTTATTTTATCGAACGGTTATCATTTTGTATACTAAAACCAACCTAAAATGTAACAAATTTATAAATAGTATTTAATTAGTATTAACACGAAGATAAAATACTGTACATCAAGAAAATAAGTTTTTTTATCAAATTTTTGTCGAGTAATATATTGTGTGTGATAACTTCTAAATGATTTTTTTATTGACAACCAAAAAAGAAAAAAATTTCTTATTATTTTACTGTTTTAATGAGTACAAATTATACTTAATAGTAACCCCTTTATAAACTATCAAATTTATTCTTGGTATATATTAAAATAGATTACACAAACTTATTGTCACCTTTAAATTATGTTTAAACTACCAATTATCTCCACATATAAATATATGTGTTATTTTTATGTTATAGTATTTTTTTTTTATAATTTTAACTCGTATAGATATTTTTAAATTCTTTTAATGTTTGTAGGTTAGTATACTAAAAAAAATAACTAAAAACTATAACAAAATAATCAATTAATATTTAATAAAAATAGTATTGATACGAAAAAATTAGTATTTGTTTCTTCTCAAATGAAATAAAATATTTTTTTTCATCATCTTTAATTTTTATTATTTTTATATCAATTTTATAAGAAAAAACGAAAAAACAATGTTAAAATTTACTTTCCTTCCTTAATTGATTGTATTGTATATTATTTTATATCTAAGTAAATTGGTATTTTGTTTAAGAAATGTTTTTAATTTAATATTATTTTATTTTTTTGTTGGTAATAAAAAAATTTTATACATAATTTCCTTATTATATATATATATATATATTTTTAAATAATATTAATTTTTGGAAATTTTCTTAATTTAAATATTTATATGGACTAATAGAATAGTTTTTTTTTTAATTTTATGTGGACACTTTTAAAGGCATTTAGCTTCAACTTTTATGAGTAAATAGAATTTTTCAAATTCACAGCCAAAAAAAAAAATCAAAACTTTTTCCCTTTTCTGGATGGAAATCTATAGGGAAATTTTTGGGTTTGATTATTAGAGAAAAAAAGTTTTAACAATGGTAAAGACGTGCTGGTACTATACAAAAGAGGAGATTGCAGAAAACTCTCCTTCGAGGCTCGACGGTATCGACCTAAAGCAAGAGACTACAAAATAAAAAATATTAGATTTAAGTTTTATCATCATCATTAGTATACTTTTTTCACAAATAGTTTGTCGTTGTATTTTGAATTTTAAAACTAGTTTATATTGCAAAGAAAATTGCAAAGGAAACAAATAATCAACAATTACAATAAAAAATATTAGATTTAAGTTTTATCATCTTATTAATATACTTTTTTCAGAAATAGTTTGTCATTGTAATTTGAATTTTAAATTAGTTTTTCATTGTATTTCCTATTTAATATATTTTACAATTGTCTTTTAAAATTTTCATAATATAAACAATCAGTTTGATTACTTTTTGTATAGAAAAATAACAAAGTTTTTGTTTAAAAACTAAAAAATAACATATAATAAAAAGTTCCACATAGGTGTCATTCTATATTTGATGTGACACTGTTCACTTAGAGAAGATTTTACTCTATAATAGCATATAGAGTGGGAAATATTGTAGGGTTGGAGATGGTATTAGAGAATGTGAGATACTAGGACTAAGACCAATATTCTCTCAATGACAGATTTTAGTTTTGGTTTTTAAAATAACCCCATATAACTAGGTAATATTTTTAATACCTGAATTACATGCATATTCCTGTCCATTTTATTTGATATCTATAATTCTTGAAATGAACATGTCTAAACATACATATGAAAACTAAACTATTTCTTTTATTTTATAGTGGAACTATAATTTGTGTTTGATTTTAAGTCTATGCTTGCTTAAAAATACAAGTTTTAGAACTGTAAACATATTAATTCATTGTTTGATTCATATATACATGAGACACACATATAAATCTCTTTTGCAATTGTATATGGAGTAGTTGGGGATGGAAATATGGATTAGTTTTTTTTATTAAAATAATTAATCAAGAATTCTGATCTAAAAAATATTGATATATGTTTTAAACAACGATAATCAACTTTGATTCAAATTTAATTATGATGGAAGTCTGCATTAATAAATCTATTGCACATATTATCTATGAATGAATATCGATTTTAGGTTTTTTTTTCAATGATAAATCCAAAAAATTAGTTTAGTAATTAATAATAAAATTTAAAACAAATATAAAAATATATTCTATAAAATTATTTTAGTGTCTTATTTATTAAGTGTTTGTATTCTGCATATGGCACGGATCCATTAGCTAATTTATTTAAATATTTATAATATTTCATTAAAATTAGTCAAATTTTTAGGTATGGTAAAAAAGTTTAAAGGTTTAGTTCCGTAAATATATAGTCAAAATTTCCACTTTTTTTATCTAATTCTATACAATCTAAAAAAAAGGAAAGTCTAACAAAAATTCGAGATGGAAAATTGCAAAGGAAAGAAAATAAAATTCAAAACTATTAAATATGGTTGGCTTATCTTTAGCTCGTTGTAGATAAAAAAAATCTGCTAGGGTTAGTGGTTGTTTAAATCCTCCTTCATTCTCGTTAACATCAATCAGTTATTAAATTCATCTTTCCAGCTTTTTTGTACATTCTTCAAATTCACGGCCAAAAAGAAAATCAAAACCTTTTTCCTTTTCTGATGCAAATCTATTGGGAAAATTTTGGGTTTGATTATTAGAGAAAAAGAGGTTTAACAATGGTAAAGACGTGCTGGTACTATACAAAAGAGGAGATTGAAAAAAACTCTCCTTCGAGACTCGACGGTATCGACTTAAAGCAAGAGACTTTCCAACGTTGGTCTTACTCAACATTCCTCCAAGAGCTTGGCCAGAGACTAAACAATCCTCAGATATCTATAGCGACATCGATCATCTTATGTCAACAGTTCTTCACTCGCCAATCACTAGCGAAGAACGACCCGAAAACAATCAGCATCATATGTATGTTTATCGCCGGAAAAGTCGAAGGGTCTCCGAGACAGGTGGGTGATGTAATCGCCGTGGCCTACAGAGTCTTAAACGACAAGGAACCGTCGAGAGAAGTGTACGAGAGATTGAAGGAGACTGTGTTAACCGGCGAGAAGCTTGTGCTCTCTACGTTAGGGTTTGATCTCGAAATCGAACACCCTTATCAACCGGTTATGGATTGGATTAAGAGATCGGTTAAGGTCGAGAGGGATGCTGATATACTTTCTCAGGCTGCGTTGAATTTTCTTAACGACGGTTTAAGGATATCTCTTTGCTTGCAATTTAGGCCGAGCCAGATCGCAGCGGCTGCTATATATCTCGGCTCGTCCTTTGCTAAGGTGAAGCTACCGTGTGATGGGGACAAAGTTTGGTGGCGAGAGTTCGATGTCACAAAACGCCAATTGTGGGAAATTTGTAACCAGACGCTTGATCTTTATGGACAGAACTTTCTCATTCCGGCTAAAGACGGTGTAGATTCTAAGATTAATGATGGTGGGTTGTTGAGAGCAGAGCAAAAACAGAGCAAGGACGCTGAAACTATATCTTGTCAAGATCATAAGAGAATTGTCATAAAAGTTGCTGGTAAGTCTAGAAATGTCATAAAAGTGTCTCTGAGAAATAAGCTATCGGCAACAAATAGCTAACGACGAAACAGGCCTTGTGAGGTTTTAGTTTAGAAGAGTCTCTCTTTTGTTTTTCACAATTTTTTGTCATCTGCAGAAGTTTTGTTGACATTTTAGAGACATGAAATTCTTCTTTTTTTTCTTTTTCGGACGAACCCTTTTGATTCCTTGATAACGTGGTGTACCTACTAGAATTTAAGATCAAGCCCAAATGTCAAACCTTAACACAAGTTTCATAGCTCTCTCAGATTACTTGATCTGCAAATAATTGCGTGTAAAGTTAGATCATAAACTTAGAAAGAAGGATGATGAAACTAGATCTCGTCAGGGTCTGAAGATCATCAACATGATAAGGAAAGTGTCATAAACGAAGCTGATAAGTCTACAAAGGAGCAAAGAACGAGAGAGGTTTTGTGTGCTTTTAGTTTAGATGGACATTGGAAGATCTTAGAAGAGTCTCCTTTTCAGAATTTAGTTTCATCTGCGGAAGTTATTTGAGTTTTGTTGGACTTAAGAGACTAAAACGGTATTTTTCTCAAATTTCTTTAGACGGCCTCATATACACCTATCCGAGCTAAAGAGCAAGCCCAAATGCAAAGCCTAGTCACAAATTACATGGATTTTTGGGGTCACTTGATGTTGGAAGTTTAAACCTTTGCAAACCGAGTTTAGCCCGGTTTAGCCTGCCACATCGATCTTCATTGGTTCGGTTTTGCACAATTAAAATCGTTTAGGTTGGCCGAACAGGAATCGACCGACCAATCTCATTCTACCTTGGCTCGTGAACAGACCACCAAGGCCCATTAAGTTCAATTTGGCTAAGTCGGCGCTAACTCCTGAAAGTCTGAAACAGAAGGAAAAAAAACCCAATGAAAATGTAAGTTCTACATATCTGTTCACAAAAAGAGTTATCCTTATCTCTTCGGCAAAGGGATCCGTAGTTTTTCCCACAAAACCTAAAAGAACTACATACAAACTCTCTTTTCTTAATTTTTAATATTTTATATTTTTTTGTATTCATTTTGTGACATTCCAAAAATCTCATTAAGGGCAAAAAAGGATATTTGCTTGGAAACCCTTAAACCTAGGAAGCCTCTCTTTTATCCTATATAAAATGAGTTTGTGGCAGAGAAGGAACAGAGCGATCAATGCAGCGAAGCTCTGCTGGAGTCACATTTGAGCAGCCACCATGAAAACACCTCAAAGATGAAGCTATTGCAGCAACCTAGAAGGTTGATCCGACATGTTCTGGCGTGAGAGATAACCGAGTGGTCAAATCAGATCAGATCAGCACGAAACTTGGTAAAGTGATTCTAGACCCTCATATCTATCTATAGCTGAAAACGGATCATTATTTAGAATTGTCTTCTAAAATTTATGAGCGTTTTCCTGAGCCATATTTACAAAGGTTTGATCCACGAGTAGCCGACTTGCGAAGCGTTTTCTCGGCGATATAGGAAGCTTCAGAAGGCGATCTACATACCATCGTGAAGATCCTTAATCCAGCTTTCCATATCAATCTTCCGATGCCCAGTCTGAGTTGTAAGTTATGATCGTTTTTCTGTTGGATGTCAAATCTGTCTAAAGGTGAACCATATTCATTATTCATCATCCAATGGCAAAGGTGAGGCGGGACTTGTGAATCTATAGGTTGTCCTAGACATAGTTTTATATGTGTGTGCTGAACCTAGAATTAAAGATTGATTGGTAATTAAAACGAACATGAATGATTCTTTGACAATTGTTGTATGTATTGTTAATTGTTGTTAGTCTAGGCGCGTAAGAGTGCATGATTGATCCCGACCTATAGACGGATTGTTTGCTGGTCTTCACGAAGGACGTTTCACGAAGTGGGACCATGGCTGGACCATACACATAGGTAGTATGTATAGTACATGGGCTGACAGGACTGTGAGATTTGTGGCTGACGAGTCACCCGATTTAAACAATGTGACGTTCTCGTGAGTGGGAATTTGTGTGCTAGGTTTCTGTGTACTTGTGAAAGATTATGATTGTTGTTTTTTTAATCTTAGGTTAAGTAGATATATATGTGGTTATGTTTAATTCTTCGTATAGATCAAGTGGGTAGGTAGGATCGTTCTCACTGAGTTTTTTTTCCGAATACTCACTCTCTCTCTTTTTCAGGTTAGACCGAAGAGTAGTACTTGTGGCGGTGGATGTGGTGTTGCTTATGGGAACCATGGGGAATTTCTATTGAATTATTTCTTATAAGGATTTTTAATTATATTCTTTAATTATTTTTCTTCAAGTATTTGAAATTTGGTTTATGGTTAAGACATTTCAAGTTCCTGGTTATTTATTTTTAATAAAGGATTTAGACAATAAATAAATATTTATTGAGTTCGTTATTCTTTTTATAAGCCGTTAAATGAGTGTAAATCAAGTTAGGTTTAAATTACAAGATTAAGGTGTCTCATATTTTCTGACGACCTATAACTCGTCCGGTTTGCTAAATGATTTCCAATCATCTTTTGTTATTCATATAACCTAGTTGAGATTCGTATTTAACAATAAACCAACTATAAACTTATACCAATTATAAGATTTGCCACAGTAGTTACAAAAATAACTAAGAAAGCAGAACGACCAAAACTTCACACATTGGCAATAAACAACAGAAAACAAAGAAACAGAAGTGTGCTTAGCTTATACGTTCTCATTAACTTATTCTTCTGTTAATAATTTTTTTTACATCTAATAACATACAACCTGTTTTCATTAGCCATAATGAAGAATTAGTATGACTGTCATAAACAAAACAACACTTAACAATGTGATAACAAAGGACTCCTCTTACCACATTGTTAATATGCCTTGGATGTGAGACTATGAAATGTGCAAGTGCAACATGCAGAAGGTAAAAGCTACAAAAGGTGCAAGCTTCAGGTGCAACATGCAGAAAATACAAGTTGCAGAAGGTATAAGTTGTAGAAGATGCAAGCATCAGAAAGTGCGAAGCAGACTGCAGAAGGTGCACATTGTAGAAGGTGTAATCTGCAAAAGGTGCGAGCTACACGGCAGACTGCAAAAGATGCAGATTCAAAAGAGTGTGAGCCAGTGGTGGATCTAGAACTTCTTTTAATCTTCTTTTAATCGGGGACATAAAACTATAAAATAACAAAAATAATTTTTACAAAATATCTTAAATTAAACAAAACCTACAAAGTTATCCTACGAGGTTCCATATTTAGAACTTTTTTTTATCACTATTTCATTTGTAATTTTTTTCACGCAGTTTTTTCTTATTAAAACAAATGGCACAATTCTTTAAAAACTGCATATAACTTATTATTTATTGGTTAAAAATAATAAATTATTATTATTTTTGGTTCAAAATAATAAATTATTTTAAAAAGTAACATGTAACCTAAAAATAATTATCAAATTTTAAACCAAGTTTTGATAAGTGCATACAATTTTAGTTATTTTATTATTTATAGAACTTTTATTCTCTCACATTTTTTGTTAAGTATCAGATACTTTTTTTTTTGAAAGATTTATGCATTATATTTAAATGAAGCAAAAGTTTTGTTATACTATAGTAGCAGCCCAAATAGCAAGAAAACGATATTAAAGCAAATGACATGATCGGCCCATTAACTGTAACTAATCGAAGCCTAAAGAAAACAAGGTAGATCTAACAAAATTTAGTATTATAAAAATTAAAAGCATTAAATACAATTTACCTTAAGTATTTTTTTAAAGACTAAGGGGCACGTGCGTCCGCCCCTAAAACGGATTACTAATCCTTAACTTTTCGAGGAATCCTAAAGCTGTTTGCAGATTGTATGCTACATAGTTTGTCGGTTAGGATAACTCCTCTATAAGCTGAAGCTACTAGCTTAAGGTTATTATGTGGGCCTAAGCGAATAAAACAAAATATCATTAGAGTTAAACTTGGTGTTAGCTATAAATAACCTTATTACACCTAATTTTGATGTATTCTGAACTTTCAGCTTCCATTAATAAATCAGTCTCCTTTTTTCCGTGGATGTAGCCAACACATCGTTGGTGAACAACATTAATTCTCTGTCTTTGCTTTACATTCATAGTTTAATCTTTTCGTATCTTTTACGACAAACTGTTATCAGAGCTCCAGGTTCTGGAAATATCCATGTCTGGTGAGAAGATGTCTGAAATAAACATGATGATCGACAAGTTCACAGGAAGAAACAATTTTAGTCTCTGGCAAATCAAGATGCAAGCGTAGTTGAAGCGACAAGACTTTTGGGCACCATTAATTAAAAATAACAAGGGTGACACTGCTGAGATGGCGAGTCTGGAAGATAAGGCACAAGCATCAATTTTTCTTTGTCTTGCAGATGACATCATCGTCGAGATTTCAAATGAAACTACTGCTGCTTGTTTATGAGGGAAGTTGGAGACATTGTATATGGCAAAGTCTCTAACAAACAAGTTGTTTCTCAAAAAATGTCTTCTCGAGTTAAGAATGCAAGAGGGTACGCAATTCAGAGATCACTTAGATCAGCTAAACACATTATTACAAGAGCTACTAATATAATGTTAAGGTGGAGGATGAAGATGCTGCTCTACTTCTATTGGTATCCCTACCACTTTCATACGAAAACTTTGTGCAAATGTTTATAATCGGTTAAGATACTGTAACTTTGGAAGATGTTCGATCTTCACTTCATAGTAGAGAGCTGCGACATCAGGCATCTAGTACGTGTGCAGATAATCAATCTTCTGGACTGTTTGTGAGTTGTGGAAATAACAAACAGAAGAATGCAAAACGATTCTTTTCGAAAGGTCCAAAACCAAATGATATCTACAATTACTGTAAAGAAAAAAGGCACTGGAAAACAGAATGTCCTAAGAAGAAGAAGCAGTCTGTTGATGTTACCGTAGCAGAGGATGAAAGAGAGTCCGAAGTAGACATTGCACTGGCTGCAGATGAACAGACACATTCCTTAGATGTGTGGGTTTTAGACATTGGAGCTTCTTACTATATTTTCCCTATGAGAGAGTGGTTTTAAAAG